TGCTTTGTAGGCGGGTCGTCTGCTCCGGCAAAGATCTGCTATAACTGGATAAGACTGGAGAGAGATCTCACCTTGTTCGGTAGTAGGCCCCATTTAGGGTACCAGCATGGCTTCTTCTAGAAAGGAAAGGGACTTGGATAATGATTTGTGGGCAGATGTATATTTAAGACAATTCAGATACAAAATTAAAAAAATTTAACCTTCGGGTTCGGGGTAACTTAAAATGTTAAGCTCTCACCTACTAGGATTTTTCTAAATGGAAAAAAGTAGATTCGTGTTTTTGTTTAAAAAAAACTATATTTACAACTGCATCAAAGCCCATGAAGTTTTCCCTGTATTTTATATGGGTAAAAACACTTTTTCGTAGAAAATCGAACGCAAAATTTTCTTCCTCTTTGGGAGACTTCCAGTATTAACACCCAATTGTTTATTTAACCATTTTTTAATATTTACTATTTGTTAAAGGTACCCCAAAAATTACAAAAAATACAATGGGGCACAAAAAAAAAATCGGCACTATTACAAAATGGTAAAATAAACAGTTGATATTGGAAGTCTTCTGAAGAGAAACAGAGTTTTCCGATCCAAAAATATTGATTTTCAAGAATTTTATAATATTTCTAGTGTTTTTTTCGCCTTATAAAATACATGGAAAACTTCATAGTTCTAAATATAATTTTTTTTAAACAACAAAATACGGGAATTCTTTCTTTCCATTTAGAAAAATCCTAGGGGTGGGAGCTTAACATTTCAAACTTTCTTGTTGACCACCACCCTAGTGTACGTATATACATACGTATATCCAGCTTGACAACTACTTGGTCATCGCCAAATGAAATTCTTTTGTCGCACAAATATTTGCAACAATTAAATGTAAGATTGGAGCTATGCGATAGATACAGTTAGCCAGCATACCAACCCCAACTATTATCCGCAAATGTCATCTAAGGAGTAGATATTTTGTTACTGATCCGATAGTAAGACAAACAATGACCAAGCAGCCATGCAGACACATTGCAAATGTCAAGCGAGCAGCATCTAATGGAAAACTCATCAAGTGTTTTGGCCCTGAAAATTATACTCCTCCGACTACACCACTAGATTGCTTTGAATGGCATTTTGTGTTTGTTTTTTTTTTTTTGTTTGCTTGCCATTGCTTACACTTGAATGGTTTTTGGGTGTTGCTGGCAGTCGCCGCAGGCATAAGAAAAAATCTGTGGAAGAATATTTTTGCGAAAGGACTCATGGCTTTCTTGGCATCTTGTTTGTATTTGTTGCTGTCTTTCTTCACTTAGATTTTCTTGCATTCATAAACATCTCCTCTGTGCTATTTTCTTCTTTTAATTAAAAGTATTTTGTCTTGACTGCGGCACACCAAACCAAGAACAAAAAATTACAAAAATACTTACAGCGTTACTTACTTACGCTTATTAGTCGCTCCACGACATATTTTCATACTAGCCAAGAGTACCAGATTTCAGCTTTTCCCGTGCTGATGGCTTAGACAACAGCAACACTCACACAAAATCACAATCTTTCTTTCTTTACTTGCTGCTCAAACACGTCGACACTTGCGATGTTTCAATTTGACTGTGACTTTAGCTAAACTTACCTACCAATTCCTTTATTTTTTTCCTTTCATCGCTTTGAGCCCCTCCTACTGACTCCCCATTTTCCCAAAAAAAAAAATACATCAGCTTTCGGCATTTACTTCATCTTTTTCACTTGCACCACTTTCCATCTCCATCGCTCAATTTTGGTAGGCGTAAACAAGGCCAACAGGCGTACATTTGCCATATTTACACTTTGGCTTTTGCAAATTGTTTCCACATTTTCATCAGCATTTCATGCAAGTCGCAATTAGGCAGTCTACAAGAGCGGCTAAGTTGACTTTCAACGCCTCTTGTCTTCAATAGGCTACTTTTAGATTTTTTGCAAAAATTAATCTTTCAAAAGTATTTTATCCACAATCTTCAAGCGTGGCCACTAAGGCGGGTGGCCTCCCACTGCGATGATTTTCACTTACTTCCTTTTCGGGCAATTCACTAATTGCGAATGTGTGTTTTTTTTTCGTCCTTTTACTTAGTACCTTAATAAGTAAAAGACATTCTGGTTTTTGTGTTGGAGATAAAGAAACTGTCAGGCAAGCACGTCCGTAGCAACTTGAATGTGAAATTGTTTTACTTTTTGATTTTACTTCTTTAGTTTTTATTCCTTATAAATTGTGAAGATGCTAACCAGTATGCTGTCCATGCTTCTCACTTAAGTGATTAATTAAGCAAAAATTTTAATATTAAGGGAATTTTGTATAACTTTATAACCAAGGTAAAGCAATTCGAAGTACTCTACACTTCGTTTTTTTTAATTATCACACGAACAAACAAACTAAAACCTGGACTGTCCGGTTTTTGTTCGGTCAAAAACCGGGTACCTGGCAAACCTGCCTAGGTTCTGGAAAAATGTAAAATGGCCACCGACGCGTAATCGTTATTTATTTGACGATTTATTGCGACTAGTTTCCATAGACATTTTAGACTTTATTTTTTGTGGTAATTAATTCCATATAAATAAATTACAAATCATATGAAACTAGTATCCAGCACTTTTCTAGCTTGACATCATTTGCTAAGAATCAATCGAACTCAATTCTCCAAAGTCCTCTGCTGCGCCTGCTGCCACTAACTTATTGTGACGGCGTCAATAGACGACTTGAGTATAATGAAGCAGCCTATGTATGTACATTAGGGTGATCCAAAAATGCGTGGAAAAACAAAAAAAAGTAAAGTCAGAAATTTTATGATCTCACCCCCTATCTGTACTATACCGAAAAAAATTTCCCCTGTTTTTTTTCGAAATAAAAAAATATTTAAAAGTCGCTCAAAGTGCAACCGGGCACTGATTGGGCACATCTGCATTTATCCTACTCAGGTAGGAATTTAGCCTGCAGCAGTATCCATAGTGAAGTTGGGCTATTGTGGTGCAGGCACAAGAGGCAGACGAAGTTCTGTCTTCTCCACGTCAAGTAGCAGTGTTCCCAAAACTGCATTCACAGGTCGGGAGCCAGTGTAAGTCGAGACTTTCGGTCTTCGTCCGTTAGTTCCTATAGATACCTTCTGTTCGGGTGCCCACGTCTACATGGAATTGCTTACAAGCATTGTATTTTACTCCCTGACAGAGAGCATTTGAACCTCGCCGTATAGGTGGTGCTGTATCGACATCAGGAGGCATCCACTGGCTGTTCAGAGTGCCGTGTTTCGGCAAGTCTTTAGCTTCGTCTAGTGCATCCCCGACGACCACACGGGCGCTACATAGTTTAGAACCGGCCGGCCAATTTCCTTGTATGTTGCCAACAACGTTTCTTTGTCTTTGCCACAGGTGCTGTCGGCTAGCGACTTGAGGCCCTTGTTGCGGCTCTGTGTTCTATGGACAATTGCAATTGTATGCGCCGATAAGGAGAGCGGACCATCGAAGGTAACTCCGAGTATTTTTCGGTTATTTTTCGACGGAATGAGACGTCATCGACGTGAGCTTCCAGCGGTAGGCTGACCTCATTCGTCCAGATGGTAAAAAACGTTTCGACAATTTCGTAGGGGAGAGGGTTGGGCTCCTTGCAGTGAAGAAGCGAGAAAGTTCGGAGAGGTAACCGTTTGTTTTCTAGCTCAAGTCGTCTATTCCATTCCCGGACGCTATTATCGAGCATACCTCAGCATAAGAGATAATAAATACTCCCTCTTGTGACTGCTAGAGCTTGAAATATAGTAATTAAACATAACCGAGGAAAGGGCACCACTCTGCGGGACCTCCTATTTAGTTTTTCTTGATTTGCTGGTTTTATCTCTAAAAATTACCGACGAATGCCGGCCAATTAGATAATTCTAGCTGACATTGTCAAACGCCTTTGACATATCCAACAATACTAGGACTGTTCTCTCACAGGGACGGTTTCAGTTAAGCCACGTGTTATCTGAATGTTTATGGCGTTAAGTGCTGTTATTTCATTTATCAGAACATCTGCTGGAACTCTACTACTGTTCGGGCCTGTTAATTTCGGTTAAACTCAATCCAAGTCGCACGATCGTATTGTAGAAGCAGCCGTATTCTTTCTTTGGGAAGAAAACGCAAATAAAGGAGATATTGAGAAATAGCGCCCGCAGACACATTGTCGACCAATATGAACTTTAAAACTTATAAAATAATGCTTAGCGTAGCCTTCGGCCCACCATTAATCCGATATGAAATTTGCGATTATTGACATGGAAGCTCTAAAGTGCACTCTACATTCTTCGTGGGTGGCGGTATTGTAAACCATAGTTTTTCCGTGGACATCAACCAACCGGGCATTCTTGAAACCTTTCCAATTAACATGGTGAACATCAGGAAATGGGTACGGGGGTTTTATGTTGCGAATACAGCTAATATCAAAAGAGTATCTAGAAATATGCAGCGCAGTTCGATACAAAAAAGGGACCAAGTCCGGAAGATCCACGCTTATAGAATGAGCTTGCTAGTATGATATTGTATTTATCAAGTAAAGATAAGGGTCAAGGAATACCAAAAAATGGTGGAGCTAAATGTGTAAAGGGAGTTGCTTTCTTATTCCATTGAAAATCCACTTGTTGATGGAGCGTTCATCGAGAAGCACTAAAACTATTATCACCAATAGCACGCAGATTTATATCGACAGCCAGTTCCCTAACAAACAACGTGAGTCTTCAAAAATTCCGATGAAATTAGCATTTGCAACATCCGTGACATGAGCTAACTTAGGTCGGTTTCGACCCCAATCTTAACTAAGCATCTGTCGTTATGTACATAGGCTATTGGTCTGATTATGGCAACTTAACCTAACTTACAGGTTCTCACTTAAAAATTCACATCGAAATCTGTTTCATTTTGATTTTCTTACTTCTAAGTCCGTTAAATTAAGTTAAGTTAAGTTGCCATAATCAGGCATTATCACTACCGACTTCACGGCCTTATGAAGGGGCTTTGATGTAAGCATGTTGAGCTCGAGCAATCATGATCCTAATATCCAAGAATGTAAGTTGAGGCTGAACTCCGTTGCAAAAGGGAGCAAGCTGGAGCTTATGTGGGTGCTGAAAAACTGCGGTGTTCAAGGCAACGAACTGCCTGATGAATCGGCAAACTCCAGTCTTTTGGAGCGCCTAATTGGACCGGAGTCAATTACATATACAGCCAATTGTGGCAGGAAGTGTCGAGACACATCAGGGTCTCACGTCCTTAAGTACAATGGCAACAATGCCGAAGTGGTTGGAAAAGCGTTTTAGTTTTTTCGACCTACCACAATTCCATTCCATCTCGTAACTCGGTTGCGATTTAATTTTTGTAAGCAATGGGATATCACGAAAATGGCAAATAAATGCAAATAAGTCTTGAAATCCAATGTAGTCCGAAGAATAAATAGACAAACAAATACTAGACAGGCAAACAAATAAATAGATACGCAACTGAACTTGAGTCAAGCACACAAGTAAAGGGATTAGACAGCCCAAGCAATGCAAAGAATGAACAAGCAACTGCGGGGAGTGGTAGATGTAATGTAACAGTGTACATAGCAAACAAATCAAAGATATGCAAAAATGCTTTGCGGGCATTAATTGCATTTTACTGCACACAGTATTCAGATTGCACTTTCAATTAGACTTAGCAACCGGAAGTTGAGTGCAACGCCAGCACCACACTACGCATCTCTGCTGCCGCCACCTTCCCTCACTAACAACGCTCGATACCTACTCACTTCGAACTACACAGTACAAACTGTTTGTCTTGTCTACAGCCGTAGCCGGCAACGTAGCTGCAGGCGCCGAAGTGCGAGTTTCATTAGATGAAAGCGCGCCAAAGTAACAGAGCGGAAGTTTTATGGGTGGCAGTAGCAAGCAGCTAGCTGCGTTGAACGGAAATGAGTTGGAGCAACATTTTAATTGAAAGGTGATGCCATATCAAATACTGCAAAATAACAAACGTTTGTACGGAGATGAAGCAAAGAAAGTGCTGCCGGGCAACAAAAATTCGTAAAGCATGTTTGTTGTTTAAATGCACTTTGAAACCTTAGAAGTTTCGGTTGCAGTGTTACTTAGAGTAGAGAGTTTTTGGTTTTCCTTTGTCTTTTGTAGAGAGTGAGAAGCTTTGGGTGCTGCTTTGAACGATGGTAATAATGCATAATTTTGCAGTTATCTAAGGTAACTAAATGTGAGTTTCGGAGAGGGTGCAAGGTTAAGTAAACGATGGCTTAATGCATTTCAAAATTGATTAATGACTTTTCTGAGTATTTCTTAAGCTTTGGTAGCATTAAACAAACAACAAATAAGGTGTGAATAGATTTAGTGCTACAGGTGAGTTGTTGTTTAATTATGCTTGCAAGAGTTTGACTTGGGTCAAAAGCTTAATTGCGGAATGAAAGTAGTACGAGTATGGTGCTAAGTGGGATATAAAAACTCAATAAGTGTTGGGAAGCAAGGAGGATATATACAAGCAGTGGGTAATTAATTAAACTGGTTAATCTATCTGGAAGCCTTAGGTCTAAAAAAAATAGACACACCTTGTTGGAGCCGCTCTAAGATCAACATTTCCACGAAAGACGGTTTTTATTTTGGACGTCTGGAAGAGTTATCCTACTACTAAAACCAGGAAAAGCGCCGACTGAATAATACATATTTATAACATGATAGTGTTTGCATAAAAAACAGAAAATCGTTTGTCAATTAAGTGTTCGCGTGACAACTTTTTGTATAGATTTTTATTTAAGTAATTGCAGTGCATGATGTTTACAAGGCTCAACCGTGTAAAGTGTCAGTTAATACGAATACGAGTATTGATTGAAATAGCTCAAGCATTTTTTATGGATATAAATTACTGAAATACATAGTTTTAGTATTAATTACTTGGTAACTGTAAACTCACTAGATGTAAATACCAGCCTCCTTCGAACAAAGAAGTCCCAATTGCTTCAACTACTTAATACTAATTACAGCACTGAGAGGCGGAGTGCCACCTCCCAGTAGCATCATGTAGGGTTGCCATTTATTCTAAGAGCCACTTACGCTTATTACCTCTACGCATGTGTACTCTTACAAGTATTTACCCAGTCACAATGATTATGCGAGTGCTTGAGGCATTTACATTTGCGTAGGCAAATAAATGTGAGAGCCTGCCACGTATCCATTTTGCAATACAATTCTTATAGTAATCTGGATGCAGATCTTGAAAGTAATTTAAGCAACAACAACAATAACAACGCTACTCACTGCTGCACCGTTGCATGAAAAATATGTGCGTCTAACAATTATGCGTATACGTAGGCAACTAATGGAGTAGTTAAGGACGAATGATGGCTAGCCGCATGCATAACTACACATGGGGCACGACGAAGAGTCTGCTTGCTCTGGGTCATTAATGAACCACTAAACTTACCAGCAATTGAGTACTTTGTAAATAATTACACAAGACTTACATATTAACAATGAGTTAGGCTAAAGCATATTTTCTAGAGAAGTGGGAAAGATGATGGGATGGAATTGAATGTGATGAAGGGAAGGAATGTTGGGTATAAATGAGGATGTTGCTATTCAACCACATAGAGGGTATTTGAAAGTCTAAAAATGAATAGAACATTATAACAAGGAAAGAAAAATAGTTGCACGTTAGCAAGGGTTGGAACTTAAAAAAAAAAATTATACTTACAGGTTAGCAATATAGGTGGCACCCCTACCAACAAGGGGCAGAACTTTTGAATGACTGGAGAGTCTCTAAAGACAATCCTCTTTCGGAAACTGCTTTTCTAACAGCCTTTCTGTTTCCACTAACCAGATAAACTCAGAGAGTAAACTTTATAAGGTCGTTGATGACCTAACTAAAGTATTCCAACGTACAGTAAAGGTAGCCTGCCCGACCAGGGCGACAAGTAGGAAACCAAAACCTCCAAGGTGGTCGATGGAAATCGCAACCCTCAGAAAGGAATGTAGATCAAAATTTAACGAAGCTAAGAAATGCAATTCTTGGAGCGATTTTAAAGACTGGAAACGCAGATTTAAGTATGTGGCGAGAGATGCTAAGCGCTCCTCATGGAGAAACTTCTGTCAAAAGATAGAAAGCTCTTCCGAGGCCAGCAGACTAACGCAAGATACTATCGACGTGTCCTAGCAATATACGCTACCTCATTAAGTATTATAGCTTCTAATACAAACGCACTTTCCGGGTTGCCTCCACAGCAAAGTTACCAGCACTCGATTCGCAGGCAACAACGATAATCTCCTTTACTGAGGAGAACACAAAGCGGGCTGTTAGCAGCTTCCAACTGTACAAGTCTTCAGACAGACATGACTGCACCCACATCAACTCGTACCCGTTTTTGAGGTAGCGTTATGATTTAACTCAGTGGTCAGCATACTAACACATTCAAACGATTCAATAAGTGAGACTAGGTGCGTTAAATACATAGCTCAGCTGCCGCTCTTCGTATACGTGTGAAACACACATGTGCTCAGAGAGCGCTCACTGAGCTATGGCTCGCCAACCACTGATTTAATTATATATCCCACAAATGGGGGGAGGTTAGATTTGTTTTCATTCCTAAAGCAGTAAAAAAAACTCATGCGAGACGCAAAGACTTAAGGCCAATTAGTCTGTCTTGCTTCTTGCTGAAATCTTTAGAACGACTAATAGATGAGATATTAGAGACAAGGTGAGTAGCAAACTTTCGGCAGCCTAGCTTGCGTAGAATAAGGGAAGATCACCCTAGTGCAAACAATTAAAGGATAATTAGATTTTAAAGTTATACCCTCGTATATCCTATGTCATCGTTGGTAAATTTGGGTGTAAGCAACCTCGTTTATCGAACGAATGAGTTGAATCGTAAATAAAGAGATTCGGGAGTAATCTCTCCGCTTCTGTGGTACTTAGCATTCCGGCATTGGCGAGAAGATAATTGCATAGCCGACGATATTGTAATAGTAATCTCGGGCAAACACCTCTCAACATTGGCCGATCTAATTCAAAGATCTCTTAACAAACTGTACCTATGATGCCACAGCCGACGACTGGGAATATATCCTATACAGACGGACTTAGTGCTCTTCACTAGGAATGGGGTGTATGCTCCGAATAACTGGAAAACTCCCTTAAGCTGCCTTTACACGGATCGATTTCTGTCGACTGGAAAATCGACTGAGAAATCGGCCAGCCAAAATACTTACACTTTACGGTGGAATTGCCACTAACACTGGTCGATTTTGGTTGAACGGCAAAAATATACCAGAAAATCGGCCCTTGTAAAGGCAGCTTTAGCTTTCATCTTCCGGACCACTGTAGCGAACTGATGGCAATCGACAGGGCCACAAAACTAGAGTGTGATATGATATCCCAATTTTATGTCTACATCTTCACTGACAGCCAAGCGGCGAACAAATCCCTTACGAAGCATTTCTGCCAAAGTTGATATGGGTTCCGGGACACTGCCACATTGGAGGGAACTGTAAGGCCTATGAACTGGCGCGACTTGGCAACAGAAATACCCTTACAAACTTGCAAGCTACTTATTTCCGAGAGGCTTACTAAAGTAGCGAATGACATATGTCATGACGAAATCACCTGAATTATTGCGCCATGGGTTTTCGGAAAGAAGCCAAAAGCAAGGCATTTTCTAGCACCTTTTCCAACACTGTTTGAAATTTAATTTTTAATTTGCCTTGTTTTGAATTATTCAACCACACTTTGTTAAATACATTTTCGAATTATACTTTTTATATTTTGTATACAAACATAGGAAATAATAAGAACGTAAGAGAAAGTCTTGAAAAATATAACATATATTTTTAAACAAACAAAGGCGATAAACCAAAAATATCCTTAACAAATGACCACCAAAAATGCTCTGCACATGCCAGTGAGTTGCTATACAAATTAGATTTTCTTCTTCAATATTCTTGTGGAAACGCCATTCGTTTTTGTTAAATCATTTTAGGCGGTTAGCAATCGCGATTACAAGCTCTATGCCATCAATTTTCATACGAATTCACTATATTCGATACGCGATGAGTTCAAGAATCGCGTGCAATCGGGTATGCGAAGACGTGTTATGATAATCGATTTGGAGGAGGAAGCAAAAATGCTAGCTTTGAAAGGTGAGCCTGATTAATTCTAAATTTTACGAAGAAATCTTTTGTCATTTCGACACAGTTCGCAATACCAAACGCTTTGACGACTTCGCTGTTGCCACGGAGGCTATCGAACGCTGCCGTCGCGAATATATGCAGGCCTCCAAAAAAATTGCTGATGAGCAGAAATTTAGTTTAATCAATTTCTGGATGGAAAATCTCAATGTGCCCACTGGTGCCAGATTATCAAAAAATGGAAGCGCCGCAAGCAAAAAAGGACAGGGGAAGTCGCCGAATGTGCCCGAAAAGCCCAACAGACCTCAAAATAGAGCAAAAGGTTCGAATACGGCGCTTGAAAACAAGTCTGTCATTAGTCTTCCTGTGTGTCCACAATTAGCGCCAAAGCAGCACAATACTATCGGGCGTCCACCGCTGCTTTCAAAGAAGCTTGTAAGTGTAGTGTGTGTGTGATAGGTGAAGTTCAGTTTAGGATTTGTTGAATTTCATAAATTTGTTATATTACAGTACATACAAGACGAACCGGAAAATTCAAAGCTCTACATAGTACTCGTTGGCGATATGGACAATGACTTTTATGTAAAACTGTTAAGGTATGTAAATCTCAAGTGGCGTAAGTGTCTAACATTTTATTTATACTATGCGTTGCATACAAATATCGAAGAAAATTAGAGTAATCTTTACAACAATATTTTGCATTGAAAGCTTCGACGTCAAGACTTGAACTTCTTTTAATAGCTTTTAAAATAAAACTATACTCAAATGTCAGCTGCGAGGTATTGCGAATCCTACTTTCGTGAAATTTGACTAACAATAAATTGCACTTTAACTGCCATCAATAGGTAAAGTCCTTACACACGCACGCATACACACTCCCCATCTCCATTTTGGTCTCAGCTACAACAATCGATGCCTACTTAGGAAACTTCAGAGTTTCCAGTTGTTAGCTTCTTAAATGTAATTTAATTCATTGCTGAGCTCAAGCAAGCAGTGGTGCCATCGAGGAGGAGCTGACAGCTTTTGGTAGAGCACAATATACCCAATTCAATAATTACGCATTTGCGAAATTTATTTTGCAGGCGATGATTTTGTAAGGACGGCGTTTAAGACTACCTATACTGTAAATAGCGCACTAGATTCTAATTTGGTGACAGGTAATAAGGTCAATGGAAATAAGGTCAATTGACTTTATTTCCCACCCTGGTGCGAAATAAAGTCAATTGACATTATTACCTTTTCAAAAGCGAAATAAAGTCAACAAAAATTTGGAAATAAAGTCATTGACGCTATTTCCTCATTCAAAT